CCCCTGACGACTGGGCCTCTGTCCAGCCAGGAGCCTCTCCCTAGACTCACATCCCAAACCGCATGGTGGGGAATACCTGGGACTCCCTGCTCTAGTCTATGCCACTCGCCACACTTTAATCAGGAGTGTAAGTATGGACTTAATTGAATAAATCATCAGTTACAGTATCTGACAGAGTCTCTGCTGTGTGTGCCCTGTATTTTCAGTGATGTATTGTGTTTGCAATATTATTGTCTTCTGTCAGTGTGTACAGAGCAGTGCAGTGAGTGCATCCCCATGTGTGGGGATTAGGCTATAACACTGCAGTGTTTGCCTCTAGGACTGCCTGCCTGCATGGATGCTTGCCTGCTGCAGATGGGAAAGTTGACACCAACAGATCTCATCCATCTACCCACTTTACATCACACACACACACTATGCACATTGCACACTAACACATGCACAAACACTGGTAAAGCTGTGCAAAAAAAAAATAGCCTACAGTCGCATACCAAAAATTAGGCTAGGTGAATCGAGGACAGTGATACTAGAGCGTGTTCTTGAATCTTGACTTTGTGGAACAGCAACTATACAGCAGAGAACTTGAAATCCCTTTTGAAATAAGGTCACCCTTAGCATCAGACTGTAACAGTGGAATGATGAAGCAGGTGGATAGGCAGGACACTCCAGTCAATACCCCCCGCATCTCCCCTCCCCACGTCTGTCCCACGCTTCAGTGCTCCATCTCCCCTCCCCCCGTCTGTCCCACCCTTCAGTGCTCCATCCTCCCCCCACCCTCCTCCCAGGTTTCAGGACAGTGTGTTCTGAGCGCAGCGCAGCCATAGGCCAAATACAGTGCATTCGGAAAGTATTCAGACCCCTTGACTTTTTCCACATTTTATTACATTACAGCCTTATTCTAAAATTTATTAAATTGTTTTTCCCCCTCATCAATCTACACACAATACCCCATAATAACAACGCAAAAACAGGTTTTTTGACAATTTTGCTAATGTATTAAAAATAAAAAACGGAAATATCAAATTTACATAAGTATTCAGATCCTTCACTCAGTACTTTGTTGAAGCACCTTTGGCAGCAATTACGGCCTTGAGTCTTCTTGGGTATGACGCTACAAACATGGCACACTTGAATTTGGGGAGTTTATCCCATTCCTCTCTGCAGATCCTCTCAAGCTCTGTCAGGTTGGATGGGGTGTCGCTACACAGCTATTTTCAGGTCTCTCCAGAGATGTTCGATCTGGTTCAAGTACAGGCTCTGGCTGGGCCACTCAAGGACATTCAGAGACTTGTCCTGAAGCCATTCCTGCGTTGTCTTGGCTGTGTGCTTAGGGTCGTTGTCCTGTTGGAAGGTGAACCTTTGCCCCAGTCTGAGTCCTGAGCGCTCTGGAGCAGGCTTTCATCAAGAATCTCTCTGTACTTTGCTCCGTTCATCTTTGCCTCAATCCTGACTAGTCTCCCAGTCAATGGAAACAGGATGCATCTGAGCTCAATATCTAGTCTCATAGCAAAAGGTCTGAATACTTATGTAAATATCATTTCATTCTTTTATTTTGTTAATTTGCTAAAATTGATAAACTGTTTTTGCTTTGTCATTGTGGGGTATTGTGTGTAGCTTGATGAGGGGAAAAAACGGTTTACAAGTTTAGGCCTAAGCATCGTTTTGAGACAGTCGTTTGACTAAGCCTGAAGGCTTTGACTGTGTAGTTTATAGGCAGATAAATGTAATAGGGCTGCAACTGACTATGGCACAGCCAGTACAGCACACAGTAGCCCTGTCATAACGACATCGACCATAAGGAATCACTTAGGGATCTATTAAAAAAATAAACAGCAAACTTTCAGAGATGACTAGACTAAATACAACAAAGCCTTAACAAAGCCTAAGCTAAGTATAGCCCTAATGAGGAACAAATGGCAGGCTGATCATGTGAAAAATACTGTAGCTGTACCCAACAGTAGCATGTGGAGGGTTTAAAATACAGCCAATGTATCCACTAAGGCCATGTCAACATAGTTGATCACAGTAATTACACATTTGTAAAATGTCACACATATTGTGTGACCTATGTGTTAAAATGGCAACAGAAAATATGTAATTACATCGTTACGTATGACAGGCTAATTCTTGTAATTATGATCTACTAATAGCTTAAGCAGTTTATAAGCACTTAGGCAATATAGGCTACACATGGACACAGAAAGTGTCTACTGCAGGATTATCAGGTTCTAGGGTTCATAATCTTACTCACTGTGAAAGTGTGATGTGATCTATTTATGATGATCTATCATCTGGCAGAAATTATTGCTGAAAGAGTTGCTAATTGGTGAGCACTGTGTGCAATCAATTACTTATTTGGCATTGATTGTTGCTGCATAGTTACTGAGTCAGCTTGGAGGCGCTAGCCTATTGAGGTAGGCAGGAGGACGTTGCTTTTCTCTGTCACCAAATTTACAGGTGGAGGCAGCAGCAGACGGAAACAACATCCTGTTGAACTTCAAACAAAGATTAACAAAGGCACGACAGCTCTCTTATCCACAATGGGAACAGGTCCAGTGTGCATACATCCACCTCCACCTCCACCCAGTCTGCAAAAATGACATGACAGGTTGACTCAGCTTTACCATCACAGAAATATAACTGCAGCATTCTCTAACTGTAAAATATGTGCACTGAAGATATCGACTCGAGCTGACCATACATTTTTTAAACACCGGTAAACATAAAAGAACCACGAGCTGAGGTTACAGTGGCTGTTACGAGACAAACACCTTGTCGTTGATCAACATCAAAACGTCAGTCGCTGTGAACTACAGTACTGCTAGCCAACTGGTCGTTATAACGACTCTCACAGCCTCACCAAACATGACCAACGTGTATGACTGAATGGTAAAAACGGTTAACATTATCATCGCTGGTTCAAAACGTTTATATTTTCGACAAAAACCGCAAAATAATATAATTTTTTTCCCTCACCTCACCTGCTCTTTTTAACTCTGCCGCTAGTGCGCTCGCTGCTGCTGATGATGTGATGTGACGACGATGCTCGCGCGTGGATATATGCCGCGTTCAAATGCTAGTCGGAACGAGGAAACTCGGAAATTTCCGACTTGCTGATTCGTTGAATGCGGCACGTTTCGGAAATTTCCACGTTTCCTAGTTCTGACTATCACGTGAACGTGGCAATAGAACTGCACTTGCAGGTAGAGCGCGCGAGTTTGGTGCAGTATCTGCATCAATGATCTGGGTAGTGTAGTTTTTAAACAGTGTGTTCGTTTGAGAAAACATACTGAACAAAAATATAAACGCAACATGTAAAGTGTTGGTCATGTTTCATGAGCTGAAATAAAAGATCCCAGAAATGTTCCATATGCACAAAAAGCTTATTTCTCTCAAATGTTGTACACAATTTTGTTTACATCCCTGTTAGTGAGCATTTCTGCATTGCCAAGATGATCAATCCACCTGACAGGTGTGGCAAATCAAGAAACTGATTAAACAGCATGATCATTACACAGGTGCACCTTGTGCTGGGGACAATAAAAGGCCACTCTAAAATGTCCAGTTTTGTCACACAACACAATGCCACAGATGTCTCAAGTTTTGATGGAGCGTGCAATTGGCATGCTGATTGCATGAATGTCCACCAGAGCTGTTGCCAGATAATTGAATGTTTATTTCTCTACCATAAACCGCCTCCAACGTCGTTTTTAGAGAATTTGGCAGTACGTCCAACTGGCCTCACACCCGCAGACCACCTGAATGGTGTCGTGTAGGCAAGCAATTTGCTTATGTCAACGTTGTGAACAGAGTGCCCCATTGTGGCGGTGGGTATATGGTATGGGCAGGCATAAGCTACGGACAACAAACACAATTGCATTTTATCGATGGCAATTTGAATCCACAGAGATACCTTGACAAGATCCTGAGGCCCATTGTCGTGCCATTCATCTGCCGCCATCACCTCATGTTTCAACATGATAATGCACGGCCCCATGTTGCAAGGATCTGTACACAATTCCTGGAAGCTGAAAATGTCCCAGTTCTTCCATGGCCTGCATACTAACCAGACATGTCACCCATTGAGCATGTTTGGGATGCTCTGGCTCGACATGTATGAACAGCGTGTTCCAGTTCCCGCCAATATCCAGCAACTTCGCACAGCCATTGAAGAGGAGTGAGACAACATTCCACAGGCCACAATCAACAGAATGATGAACTCTATACATGAGGCTAATGGTGGTCACACTAGATACTGACTGGTTTTCTGATCCACGCCCCTACTTTTTTTAAAAAGGTATCTGTGACCAACAGATGCATATCTGTTTTACCAGTCATGTGAAATCCATAGATTAGGGCCTAATAAATGTATTTCAATTGACTGATTTGTTGCATGTTGCATTTATATTTTTGTTCAGTGTATGATAAACATTTTATTAAATTGACACCCTCCTCATCTATTTCCTGCAGAGTTTAAATTCAAGCATCAACATACAGATATTGTCAAGTCATGTGAGAAGTGCTATGCCAACATTGATCTAAGATGATATGGCTAATGCAGTGATTTCATGTTTAGGGCTGGAATCTGGATATATTCAATATAGCATATATTAAAAAAGTGAATATAAATGTTGTGGATTGTTTGTGATTGGGAGAGTATATGCTCAAAGTCAATGAAAATGTATGCACTCACTAACTGTAAGTCGCTCTGGATAAGAGCGTCTGCTAAATGACTACAATGTACAAATGTCAATTAAATCTGTTTTTGTCGAATCTGCTAATACAGATAGGAAGACTCAGGTGCACTTCACTTGCATGCTAAAGCAAGTAGAAAAGGTTAATTCCTATATATTGACAAACATTTTCTAAAATAATCAAACAGAATTTCAATGTTATTCCTGAACGTAATTGTTTTTTCAGAAGGAATGAATATAGTTAACCCCAAATTGCCATACATTTGGCGAATCTACCGTTTTCAAATAACGTATTTCTTGAATTGACCAGCCGCACAGGTACACACACATCATGGCGGTGACCGTGGATAGTGGAAATGCCCCTGTGTCGGACACCCAATCCTCAACCTCGGCTGATCCGCGCTATGAAGGTTCAACATTTCAGTACAGCATGCTCCTGGAGCACCTCATCGGAGAGAAGAGGCCGATTAAAGATCTGAATCCGACCGTTATGGGTGGTCTTCCCAATCCCATGAAAACCGACGACCAGAAGATGATCGAACGGGGAATGGAGAGCTGTGCCTTCAAGGCGGTGTTGGCATGTGTTGGAGGTTAGCTTGTCTTTCAATATTGACGACGAAATTACAATTGCAACTTGCTTGGTGCATTTGTGTTTTGGGGGTGTAGCTGCCGGACATAACGATCCGATGGTGACAGTTGGTTGCAGCTAGCTACAGTAGTTTCTCTCTGCATGCAAGGGGCCAACCACTTATAATGCACAGTTGTTCCAAATTGTTTCTCTTTATTGTTATTTATCTTACTGATGATATGAGCCACTCAATCTCCCTTGATGTCTCTCTATGATGTTGTTCATTCTCACTATAACAGTTAGTATAACAGTACTATGTCCATATTTGCTGTAGCTAACACCATCTTGTGACACTGTTTTCGCTACAGGGTTTGTTCTTGGGGGAGCGTTTGGTGTGTTCACGGCTGGCATAGACACCAATGTGGGATTTGACCCCAAAGACCCCATGAGAACACCTACGGCCAGAGAGGTCCTCAAAGACATGGGCCAGAGGGGAATGTCCTACGCCAAAAACTTTGCCGTCATTGGAGCAATGTTCTCCTGCACGGAGTGCATCATTGAATCGGTAGGTTGTCTTCTGACCGTTTTTTTTCTTTTTCTGCTTTAAAACATCAGAAAATAATATGCTAACTAAGAGAGTAGCAAAGTGAAAGTAGTCTGATTGTCAGTGGATTGGTGAAACTAAAGATATATTGAAACTTAGCACTAGGTCCATCCTTATTCATCCCAAGCACTAGACAGCCTGTAATGTTTGGAGAACTTGATATTACCTTAATATTATGTAACCACAAACCATTGTTCCACAAATCACAAGAACGTTAATCTTCTAGGCTAATGGTTGATTAAATTAATACCGTGATTATGTAATCATTGTTTGAGAAATACCAAAGAGAATTTAAAAACTGGAAATAGTGTGGTGTGTATTTGTCATCAGTCTCATACTGCCCCCTTGGGTTGTGTATTTTATATTACAGCACAGGGGAAAGTCTGACTGGAAGAATGCAGTCTATAGTGGTTGTGTTACTGGGGGAGCAATAGGATTTCGTGGTGAGTTATCTACTTAATGTAAGTTCAAATGTCCCATGCATTAATATCACTTTGACTAATTGTTAAATGATAATTGGTTTCAAGCTATGATTGTCTCCCTTCTGTCTTATAGCTGGGGCGAAGGCTGGAGTGCTGGGATGTGGAGGTTTCGCTGCCTTCTCTGCTGCCATTGAGTACTATCTCCGGTGAAAACTAGGGGACCTTCATTACCTCTGTGGACTATAGTTGAGAGGTAACTGGCCCTCTGGACCAGAAACAGACTTTATACCTCATGGAAAGAAACACATCCCTGCAGATGGAACATCTGAGGATTATCTACACTTGGACAATTCCATGCTGGTCTTCATTACCTTTTGTTGACTGTATCCTGTGCACAGTGATGTCATACTGGGTGGGCCAGTCCAGAATTGTGTTCCACTGGGTATGCTGGCTTTTCCTTTATCTAATAAGTTAAACTTCTAATCATCAGTGTCAGTCCATATATTTTGGTTTTAGATGAGCTGGCTATTCTCTCCTTTAGTTGTGGGTAAAATACAGCCTGGTGACATTTAAGTTTGAGTCCAGGTCAATGGGCGCGTTTTGAGTGGTAAGGCTAAAGCATCCAACTGTAGACGAAAGGTACATCAGCGACAGCCGGAATCTAAATGTACCCTTGTTTATAAAAGGTTTTCTTTCTCAAAATAAACGTCTCCATTCTCCAACACCCATATTACACACTCACAAACTGAAATGGTGTGTACATTATACAATCAATTAGTGAGAAACTCATCACATTTATTTGTATATATTTACTGTACACATGAATTGCGGAGAATTAGTTTCTGTTTCAGTCTTGTCACGTTCGCGTGGGCCAAACAAAAACCTACAATGTAGGTGATGGCTGCAGAAACCTATACTGAAAAGTTCATAAGTCGACATGTAGGCGAGTCAGACAATTTCTAAGCTCCAGAACGCAACACACTGAAAGGCGATGACTTGACAAAAGTTAGCCGCTCGAATGCACCCAATTGTTTTGACATTATCTGACTCAAACAGCCTTACTGTAAAAGCAACATGTGGTGACTGACATTATTTGTAAATGTTTACAGAATCCATCCAATTTATAGTTAACTGAAACTTAAGTCACCAAGCAGCAAAGTAGCCATTGATTCTCAAAGTCACTGGTGTAAATTGTTTATTTAAAGTCATTGAGAAATGCATTACTAGACTGGACGTGCCCACCCAGATAAGATGTTTAAAATTCATTAATTGTGAATAATATAAACTATGCTGAATGAACTCTGAGAGTTTGGTGGGTGTCTGAGAATTTAATTGCAGGACTGGTTATCAATAAAAACACAAACCACTGCTAATTGCTACCGTAGTTTTGTATTCATTTTTCAATTCTAGTGATTTGTTTGGTAACTGCATGCTCAATAGATTCAGAATACTTAAGATTGCGGTGCAAAAAATTTAGTCTGCACAGTACTGATAAAATTATAATACATGAATGTCACTTCCCAACTATCTCACAAAGTGCAGTATGCTGCACCAAACCAAACAAAAACAAGTAAAAAAATAATTACTTGCAATAAAAATTCAAGAAAGACAACTTCATTTTGGTACACTTATTTATTTTACTAAAAAAGAAAGTTAACATCAACATTTACATTTACAGTATACTCAAATTCTTCTCAAAGGAAGTAAAATACAACATTTTTATTTTCTTTTAATCTTATTAAAAATATCAAATAGGACTCATCATACAGTGCTTATTTTAAGATAGCAGAAAGGTTAGATTTGTACAGCATTGATGGAGATTGCCGGTGCAGCAAACTAGCCGTGACAACCTACCTTTGTCACCCAGCCTGATTTGATTGACAAGCTGAAAATGCAATGAGGGCATTACACTACACACATCGTCCCATAGATTATAATTGGTGTCATTGGACACTCGGAAGAGGCTTGCAATGTAATGACGGAAAAAAAAGCAAATGTGTTAAAAGTTTTTCCATAACCCTCATCTCACAGATTGATAATATCTCTTTCTTTAAAGAGTGGTTCAGAATAAACCGTACGATTTGACACTGTGTTCCTGTGATCGTTTCAGTACAGCTAACCTTGGCTGTGAATAAGAATAAGCTAAAAAAAAACATCACTACCTGAAAAGACTTCAAACAGACTCCTTGGAGCAATTCTCTAATTGTACTGGACTGTACAGGCACACGTAATATATATATTTATAAATAATAGGGCGAATTTGGCCAAGACTCAGAAAGAGGGAGGGCTGTGCTCTCTTGTCTTTGCACATGGAGAGAAAATCTGACAGTGACCATTCACTGACGTGGCGTTACTGGCGGCTTGCAAACTCACAGTCCTCAGCGCTGTGCTTTAACACACACTCTCACGCGCTTCTACATACACACAAAGTCCTCCTCCGCCACATGCACAAAGCCAGAGAGAAACAAAGGACCTATTGAACAAATAATATTTATAAAATATGTAAATGCAATTTTTCTTGGAACGCCTCTGAAAAAAAGAGAGAAAAAAAAAGAGAAGAAAGTCGAGTCAGTAACAGACCAGCTCTGGGATCATTGAGCTGGTTTCTGGATGACCCAACAGACCAGACAACACACAGTGACCCAGCAACACACCAGACCTTGACCCTCAACCCCTCACTGATAGATAGAGGTCCCAGAACGGTGGCTGTCTGTGGGGTTACTGTGGGTCAGAGGTGAGAGGTCTGCTGCTCCCTCCACTCCTGCTCTTCACCAGATGGATGTACTGCACACTAACATGACACTAGAAGACGTGACTATGGGATACAGGGGACCAGGGGGAGCACCGTGTCTCTTCTTCTCTTCCCCCACTTCTGACTCCATCTCTCAGGTTAGGGTAAGGGGTGTCTCAGTGGGGGCTGTCCAGTTTTAAAAGGGAGCTGTATGGGGGTGGGGGGGATTTGCTGTTGAGTCTTTCTCTCTGGAACCCCAAGGGATTAAACGTCAGTGGAAAAGTAGAGTGTGTTCCGCTTCAGCTCAGCGAAGGAGATGGGAGGATGCTGTAGGTAGTACAGCAACACCTGGACCTGAGATGGGGAGAGAGAAAGAGCTTGAGCCTAAAATCAATGGTGTTTCATTTAAATACCACTTATCATAGTTCGAACCAAAAAAGGACTAGGATATGGCACTTAGATAAGCCATGTACTTGACTCAGTACTTGACTCAGTATGACTCAGTATGTGACTAAGCATCGCTCCATGATTTCTGAGTATCTGCATACTCATCTATCTACTAAACATATGGAGATGTAATAAGTCACTGCACAAACAGTTTTCGCTCAGTCTTTACAGTTAATGATGAAATATGGCATTCTATTGTTAGCATTGGGGCCTTTATGGTGATTTACAGTAGTCAGTGTTTATATAGGGCCTAGAATAAGTCATTTGTGAACAGGAAGCGGTTTCTCTCTCAGCACTGGGCAGAGCTCCAGGTGGGGCTTCCTAAATAGTCTAAATACACCTGGGAGGCTAGACCTGGCTGACACGGGTAAAACACACACAACCCCCTCAGCTACGTCAGAGTACACACACTCACTCATTCTCTCTCCCGCTTACCTTCTCACAAGGAAACGCACATACACACACACACACACACACACACACACACACACACACACACAGATGTACGCACCCAAGTCACACTGACCTGCGCCATGACGTCGTGTGACCAGATGTCAGAGGCCAGTGTGATGTGTCCCTTGGATACCTCTGACTCAGAGGGCCTGAGCAGGGTGGGGCCAAACACTGTGCCCAGGTTGTGGAGGGACATCTTGTTGATGGGCTCCTTGTCAGCAACCCTGGAACACAAAACAGACAGATAGACCAGTTAGACTACAATGATCACAGGTACAGATCGGTATTCGTTATTTTTCTAGTCACGTGACATGTTTGCTGGTCTGGCCTTGTTACTATGGTGACCTATTTTCCGAAGCAATCACTGTCAGTGCAGCACAATGTGTTTTGTGCGTGTTTCTTCTACAAGGACCATTGAATTTCTGAACTAAGTTACCATATAAAATGTTCTTTATAGGAAGAGCAGAGCCATTCATATCACACTTGTAATTCACCAGAGCAGAGCGTCTAGCGGGTATCCTTAGCGTGTCTATGAGAGCAGTCTGTGTACATTCTGCTGACTGACTGCAGAGTGCACTGTCTGCACTAATGGATGTTAAAGAGATGTACTGGGATCAGGCCGCCATAATGGCTACATGGAGCAGTAGGGTGTATTCTGACCCAGCGCTAGCCCTGTAAACTGACCTCAGGCCTGCCCATAGGTAAGAAATCTGATTAATTTCTATGCACCTTCCTGCTTGCCTGCCAACCTCTGACATCCATTTATATTGCAGCCGCTTCACACATACTATAAAACCCCTCTACTGGGGATACACACGGCTCCAAGCTTTCTTTTCACATTTTTCAATCTCACCGCAAGGATTAACTGAAGGAAGGAAGGCCCTCAAAATTGTCAAAGACTCCAGCCACCCTAGTCATAGACTGTTCTCTCTGCTACCGCACGGCAAGCGGTACCGGAGTGCCAAGTCTAGGTCCAAAAGACTTCACTTCTCAACAGCTTCTACCCCCAAGCCATAAGACTCCTGAACAGCTAATCATGGCTACCCGGACTATTTGCACTGCCCCCCCACCCCATCTTTTTACGCTGCTGCTACTCTGTTAATTATTTATGCATAGTCACTTTAACTCTACCCACATGTACATATTACTTGCACCTCCCGAGTGGCGCAGTGGTCTAAGGCACTGCATCGCAGTGCTAGCTGTGCCACTAGAGATCCTGGTTCGAATCCAGGCTCTGTTGTAGCTGGCCGTGACCGGGAGACCCATAGGGCAGCGCACAAGTAGGGGAGGGAATGGCCGGCAGGGATGTAGCTCAGTTGGTAGAGCATGGCGTTTGCAACGCCAGGGTTGTGGGTTCGTTTCCCACGGGGGGCCAGTATAAAAAATAATGTATGCACTCACTAACTGTAAGTCGCTCTGGATAAGAGCGTCTGCTAAATGACTAAAATGTAAAAAAAATGTAAATGTAATACTTAAACTACCTCAACTAGCCGGTGCCCCCGCACATTCACTCTGCACCGGTACCCCACTGTATATATAGCCTCCCTACTGTTATTACTGTTATCTTTTTTTCTCAACACTTTTTGTTGTTGTTTTATTTTACTTTTTTATTAAAAATAAATGCACTGTTGGTTAAGGGCTGTAAGTAAGCATTTCATTGTAATGTCTGCACCTGTTGTATTCGGCGCATGTGGCCAATAAAATTTGATTTGATTTGATTTGAACTGAACACCAACTTTTGGGAGGAGGCGTGAGAGTGAAGTAATGTGTGACTGAAATTGGCAAGGCAGCACTACGCATTAAACTTGGTCTTAGTTCCCTCTAGTTCTCGTTATACAGCATGACTGCCTGGTCTCAGCATGACTGCCTGGTCTCAGCATGACTGCCTGGTCTCAGCATGACTGCCTGTTCAAATAAAGGTTCAATAAAAACATTGTCTGCCCTGCAGTAGGAACCCATAACAAACACCTAAACCTGATCTTTTAAAAGTCTGGTGGTGACATCTATTACTTCACTCAGAGTATGAATAAGTCCCCACACAGGCCATTACTACTGTAGCTGATGACAGACAGCTGATCCTAGATCAGATGTGGGTGATAGGAGGAGACCCATAAGTGTTCCCTAAGTGTTCCTGCCAATGCTAGTGGTTACCAGTCTGTGGTTATGCCCTGCTCTACCATGCCCTTCTAATTGAAGGCAGTTTTAACAGGCACCACCATGATGTCATCACATGTGGTTACACACTACCTTTCCAGACTGGCACATGGTTGGCCTTCTGAGACCATTACAGCTATTTTCAAAGACAAAATAGTAGTAGAGAAGTCATTTTAGCAGTAGGGAAGTCATTTTTCATTGACTTAAACGCTTCCTTCCAACTGGAACGTAACTCCTCAGTCTAGCTCCTTAACTTCACCACCAAAGGGCTGGCTTAAAAGGCCAGTGCAGACTGATGCCTCTCCAGGGCCTGGCATGCGTGTGCGTGCGTGAGCTCTGTTAACCACACAGTGTCTGGCCTGAACACTCTGATGACTTTTCCCTCTGTCCTCGCTGTCTTTTTGGGGCACTCAGTCAGTGGCTAATGATCGTGGTGCGGTCACAGTAGCAGGAGCACATCTCATGACCGCAGGCAGAGTGCAGCTGAACGTGAAGCTTTCCGGAACACATTTTTATAGCAGGCTTAAAGAACCACTCGCACATGGACCGTACTCTGGTCAGAACTCCTCCAAAGTCCACTTTAAACGTATTAGGCTGCCAGTTAATATGGCCCAACTGTCAACAGTAATATTTACTAGCCTTTATGGCAGATTATGTGTGTGTGTACCTCTTGAGATGCTCCAGCAGGCTGAGGAAGGTGATGAGGTTAGGGTCAGGCAGAGAGCGCAGCAGGTGCATCATGCAGTTCTCCTTGGCTGCAGGGTCCGACAGAGCTTTAGAGAAGAGGATGAGGATCCAGGAGGAGGAGGAAGAGAGGGGAAAGAGGAGAAGAACAGAAGAGAAGTTAAGAATTACCCCTCTACGGGGAAATATGAACCATCATTTCAATGTTATGTCTTTCAATGTTATGGTCTCAATAAAAAAAAGGAATAACCCCTCTATAACTGACTATTGAGATGCATCCTAATTGCATTGGTATGGTCTGTTAGGGTCAGAGGTCGTACCTATGCCCTCCATGAAGGCTGGGTACAGGCGGTCAGTGAGCAGGGGCTCTGGCAGCTCACGGAAGTACAGCTTCAGAGTCCCTGCAATGGCATTGATGTCCATATCACTCAACATCACCAGGATGTCTTTGGTATCTGCGGAGGGGAGAGAGAGAAAACAAAAACACACACATGAGCTCAAGGGAAGAGCATCAGCCTCAACCAAACAACTACTTAATTTCCAGACTGATCATTCTGGCTCCAGAGATGACATAACAAGTAACAACACTGTTTAAAAACCAAACCACCAGTGATCTCAGCTAAGTGAGCCATGAACACAGCAGAGAGACGCTGAGGATGTTAGCTTTGGTTTGGTCTAGGGGCCGTGACAGAGACATGGGTTGCATCCCAAATGGAACCCCTTTCCATATATAGTGTACGACTTTTGACCAGGGCCCATAGAGCTCTGGTCAAAAGCAGTGAAATATATAAGTAATAGGGTGCCATTTGGGACACACCCTGGGACTCCCAGGGAGGACAACACACAGCTGACAGCTGCAGCTGACCAGGAAAAATTCAAGGCCCTGGTTATAGTTTATATATACTGAGTATACCAAACATTAGGAACACCTTCCTAATATTGAGTTGCCCCCCCCCCCCCCTTTTGCCCTCAGAACAGCCTCAATTCGTTGGGGCATGGCCTCTACAAGGTGTCGAAAGCGTTCCACAGGGATGCTGGCCCATGTTGACTCCAATGCTTCCCACAGTTGTGTCAAGTTGGCTGGATGTCCTTTGGGTGGTGGACCATTATTGAAACACACGGGAAACTGTTGAGCATGAAAAACCCAGCAGCATTGCAGTTCTTGACACAAACCGGTGCGCACTGCACCTACTACCATAACCCGTTCAAAAGCAATTCAATATTTTGTTTTGCTTGTTCACCCTCTGAATGGGACACATACACCATTTTCATTTAATTTATATTTATTTATTTCACCTTTATTTAACCAGGTAAGCCAGTTGAGAACAAGTTCTCATTTACAACTGCGACCTGGCCAAGGCAAAGCAAAGCAGTGCGATAAAAACAACAACAACACAGAGTTACATACGGGATAAACAAAATGTACAGTCAAAAACACAATAGAAAATCTATATACAGTGTGTGCAAATGTAGTAAATTATGGAGGTATGGCAATAAATAGGCCATAGTGCAAAATAATTACAATTTAGTATTAACATTGGAGTGATAGATGTGCAGAAGATGATTTGCAAATAGAGATATTGGGGTGCAAATGAGCAAAATAAATAACAATATGGGGATGAGGTAGTTGGGTGGGCTAATTACAGATGGGCTGTGTACAGGTGCAGTGATCGGTAAGCTGCTCTGATAACTGAAGCTTAAAGTTAGTGAGGGAGATAAGAGTCTCCAGCTTCAGAGATTTTTGCAGTTCGTTCCAGTCATTGGCAGCAGAGAACTGGAAGGAATGGCGGCCAAAGGAGGTGTTGGCTTTGGGGATGACCAGTGAGATATACCTGCTGGAGCGCATACTACGGGTGGGTGTTGCTATGGTGACCAATGAGCTAAGATAAGGTGGGGATTTATAGATGACCTGGAGCCAGTGGGTTTTTGCGACGAATATGTAGTGAGGGCCAGCCAACGAGCGCGTACAGGTCACAATGGTGGTAGTATATGGGGCTTTGGTGACAAAACGGATGGCACTGTGATAGACTACATCCAATTTGCTGAGTAGAGTGTTGGAGGCTATTTTGTAAATGACATTGCCAAAGTCAAGGATCGGTAGGATAGTCAGTTTTACGAGGGCATGTTTGGCAGCATGAGTGAAGGAGGCTTTGTTGCGAAATAGGAAGCCGATTCTAGATTTAACTTTGGATTGGAGATGCTTAATGTGAGTCTGGAAGGAGAGTTTACGGTCTAACCAGACACGTAGAGGTGGATCTGAGAGTCACCAGCAGCAGAGCGACATCATTGATATACACAGAGAATAGAGTCGGCCCGAGAATTGAACCCTGTGGCACCCCCATAGAGACTGCCAGAGGTCCAGCCAACAGGCCCTCCGATTTGACACATTTAACTCTATCTGAGAAGTAGTTGGTAAACCAGGCGAGGCAGTCATTAGAGAAACCAAGGCTATTTAGTCTGCCAATAAGAATGAGGTGATTGACAGAGTCGAAAGCCTTGGCCAGGTCGATGAAGACGGTCGATCGTTATAATATCGTTTAGGACCTTGAGCGTTTGTTTAGGACCTCTGTTTGTTAACTTGGCTTTCAAATACTTTCGAAAGGCAGGGCAGGATGGATATAGGTCTGTAACAGTTTGAATCTAGAGTGTCACCCCCTCTGAAGAGGGGGATGACCGCGGCAGCTTTCCAATCTCTGGGGATCTCAGACGATACGAAAGAGAGGTTGAACAGGCTAGTAATAGGGGTTGCGACAATTTCGGCGGCTAATTTTATAAAGAAAGGGTCCAGATTGTCTAGCCCAGCTGATTTGTAGGGGTCCAGATTTTGCAGCTCTTTCAGAACATCAGCTGTCTGAATTTGGGTGAAGGAGAAGCGGGGGGGGGGGGGGGGGGGGGGGGGGGGCATGGGCAAGTTGCAGCGGAGGGTGCAGAGCTGGTGGCCGGGGTAGGTGTATCCAGGTGGAAAGCATGGCCAGCCGTAGCAAAATGCTTGTTGAAATTTATTTTTGGTGGTGACAGTGTTTCCTAACCTCAGTGCAGTGGGCAGCTGGGAGGAGGTGCTCTTATTCTCCATGGATTTTACAGTGTCCCAAAACTTTTTGGAGTTAGTGCCACAGGATGCAAATTTCTGTTTGAAAAAGCTAGCCTTTGCTTACCTAACTGATTGTGTATATTGGTTCCTGACTTCCTTAAAAGGTTGCATATCGCGGGGGCTGTTCGATGCTAATGCATTACGCCACAGGATGTTTTTGTGCTGGTCAAGGGCAGTCAAGTCTGGGGTGAACTAGTGGCTATATCTGTTCTTAGTTCTGAACTTTTTGAATGGGGCATGCTTATTTAAGATGGAGAGGAAAGCACTTTTAAAGAACAACCAGGTATCCTCTACTGACGGAATGAGGTCAATATCAATCCAGGATACCCGGGCCAGGTCAATTAGAAAGGCCTGCTCGCTAAAGTGTTTTAGGGAGCGTTTGACAGTGATGAGGGGTGGTCATTTGACCATGGACCCATTACGGACGCAGGCAATGAGGCAGTGATCGCTGAGATCCTGGTTGAAGACAGCGGAGGTGTATTTTAGAGGGTAAATTAGTCAGGATGATTTCTGAGGGTGCCCATGTTGACGGATTTAGGGTTGTACCTGGTAGGTTCCTTGATAATTTGTGTGAGATTGAGGGCATCTAGTTTAGATTGTAGGACGGCCGGGGTGTTAAGCATATCCATGTCTCAATTGTCTCAAGGCTTAAAAATCCTTCTTTAACATGTCTCCTCCCCTTCATCTACACTGATTGAAGTGGATTTAACAGGTGACATCAATAAGGGATCATAGCTTTCACCTGGATTCACCTAGTCAGTCTATGCCATGGAAAGAGCAGGTGTCCTTAATGTTTTCTATCCTCAGTTTATAGGGCCCAGAGTTATCCCTGGTCAGGTCCCATGGCCAGGAAAAACTCCTGGCTCTATTGATGAAGACAGGTGTATTTTACAGTGTTGGAAGTATGAGTGTTTCTTACTGGTGTCGAACGCTGCTTTTAGGGCCTGGATGTCAGTGGCCACCCCTGAGATCCTGTAGATTCCCACCTCGTCGATCCCCCTCTTCTCCACCTCCTCAATGCACTGGCGGACTATGTAAGGCACCTTGGAGCGCTCGCGCCTGTTGGGGGACAAAACCAAAACTCATCAGGATTGATATTACAGCACGGCCCCTTTCAAATAACGTTAATGCTAATCGTAGCAATCTAATAAACTGTACAAAAAGATTATAGAGAGGGGTTTATCCTGAAGTTATGAAGATTAAACTACACATAGTGACATACAGAGCCTTCAGAAAGTATTCACTCCCCTTTACATTTTCCACGTTTTGATGTGTTACAAGGTGGGATTAAAATTGATTAAATTGTCATTTTCTTGTCAACGCTCTACACCAAAAATTCTAACATTTTTAAAACATTTATGAAAAATAAAACACTAATATCCCAATTACATAAGTATTCAACCCCCAGAGTCAACACGCTAGAATCACCTTTAGCAGCGATTCAAGCTCTGTCAAGTTGGTTGTTGATCATTGCTAGACAGCCATTTTCAAGTCTTGCCATAGATTTTCAAGCCGATTTAAGGAAAAACTGTAACTACACCACTCAGGAACATTCAATATCGTCTTCGTAAGCAACTCCAGTGTATATTTGGCCTTATGTTTTAGGTTATTGTCCTGCTGAACGGTGAATGTCTCCCAGTGTCAGTTGGAAAGCAGATTGAACCAGGTTTTCCTCTAGGATTTTGCCTGTGCTTAGCTCTATTGCGTTTATTTTTATCCCAAAAAACTCCCTAGTCATTGCCGATGACAAGCATACCCATAACATGATGCAGCCACCACCATGCTTGAAAATATGAAGAGTGGTATTCAGTGATGTGTTGTGTTGGATTTGCCCCAAACATAAGGCAATTTTTATAGCAGTTCTATTTTAGTGCGTTATTGCAAACAGAATGCATATTTTGGAATATTTCTATTCTATACAGGCTTCCTACTTTTCACTCTGTGTCATTTAGGTTAGTATTGTGGAGTAACTACAATGTTGTTGATCCATCCTCAGTTTTCTCCTATCACACCAATTAAACTCTAACTGGCCTCATGGTGAAATCCCTGAGCGGTTTCCTTCCTCTCCGGCAACTGAGTCAGGAAAGACAACTCAATGCTTTGTGTTAGGAAGGACACCTGTATCTTTGTAGTGACTGGGTGTATTGATACACCATCTAAAGTGTAATTAATAACTTCACCATGCTGAAAGGGATATTCAATGTCTGTTTGTTTTTTTACCCATCTACCAATAGGTGCCCTTCTTTGCAAGGCATTGGTCTTTGTGTTTGAATCTGTGTTTGAAATTCACTGCTTGACTGAGGGACCTTACAGATAATTGTATGTGTGAGGTACAGAGATGAGGTAGTCATAAAATAAATCTTGTTAAAACACTATTATTGCACACATGCAACTTATTAGGTGACTTGTTAAGCAAATGTTTACTCCTGAACTTATTTAGCCTTGCTATAACAAAGGGGTTGAATATTTATTGACTCAAGACATTTCAGCTTTTCATTTTTAATTAATTTGAAAAAATGTCGAAAAACATAATTCCACTTTAACATTATGGGTTATTGTGTGTAGGCCAGTGACACAAAATCTAAATTTAATCCATTTTAAATTCAGGCTGTAACACAACAAAATATGTAAAAAGTCAAAGGGTGTGAATACTTTTTGAAGGCACTGTAGTTTATGCATTAGTTTATTATGAGAGAAATTCAACATAGCTTACTTTGTCACAATACTGATTTTGACCCCAAACACCCCACTCTGTTTTTTGGAGGGCGTTCTCTTCAGACTCAAGTCCCGACTCGTAAACTTCATGGAGAACTCCACCTTGATCTGTTGGAAACAATACATAAAAAGTGTCAAACAATCTGCATTATTTAATTTGCTAATTTGACAGGGACCATTGTACCGCAAACATTGCAGCAGGTTTTAGCGACATAGCTCATCTGCGTTTAAAATACACAGCTTCCAAGTGCTTTCTTTTTATCATTTCACAACATCCAGGAGTTTAAGTGGATCCAGAGTGGTTAGACGTTTACGGCTGTTTAAAAACACTGTGTTGTAGAGAAATCAGAGAGTTGGCCAAGCTCGTAAAGATAATATTGCATTGGCTCTGGCCAACTATAACAAGCTTCATTATAATATCCACACACTAAGCCCTGACAAGTCATCTTCTATTGACGGGGTTGAATGGGTAAATGACTGTGACAGGACCAGGAATGGAATTAGGAAATCAAGGGCTGGTTTCCTGGACACAGATGAAGCCTAGTCCTAGACTAAAAAGCATATTTAGTGGAGATTCAACATTGAAAGAGCTTCTTAGTGTGGTGTGGGAGTGTGGTGCCAGGAAAATAACCTCTCACTCAATGTCAACAAAACAAAGGAGATAATCGTGGACTTCAGGAAACAGCAGAGGGTGCACCCCCCTATTCACATCGACGGGACCGCAGTGGAGAAGGTGGAAAGCTTCAAGTTCCTTGGCGTATACGTCACTGACAAACTGAAATGGTCCACCCACGCAGACAGTGTGGTGAAGAAGGCGCAACAGAGCCTCTTCAACCTCAGGAGGCTGAAGAAATCTGTCTTGGCACCTAAAACCCTCACAAACTTTTACAGATGCACAATTGAGAGAATCCTGTCGGGCTGTATCACCGCCTGGTACAGCAACTGCACCGCCCGCAACCACAGGGCTCTCCAGAGGGTGGTGCGGTCTGCCGAACGCATTACCGGGGGCAAACTACCCGCCCTCCATGACACCTACAGCACCCGTTGTCACAGGAAGGCCAAAAAGATCATCAAGGATATCAACCACCCGAGCCACTGCCTGTTCACCCCGCTATCATCCAGAAGGCGAGGTCAGTACAGGTGCATCAAAGCTGGGACCGAGAGAATGAAATACAGCTTCTAATCTCAAGGCCATCAGACTGTTAAATAGCCATCACTAGCACATTAGAGGCTGCTGCTGCCTATTGAAATCACTGGCCACTTTAAGAAATGGAACACTACTCAATTTAATAATGTTTACATATCTTGCACTACTCATCTCATATGTATATACTGCATTCTATTCTATAATATTCTTCTGTATCTTAGTCCATGCTGCTCTGTCATTGCTTGTCCATATATGTATATATTCTTGAATTCCATTCCTTACTAGATTTGTGTGTATACACCCGCAATAACATCTGCTAAACACGTGTATGTGACAAATACAATTTTATTTGATTTTGATTTAATTTGATTTAGTCTGGGTCTAGCAAACTGGCCCCAAATGTTCCTAGTGTCTCTTACCCCATTCATCTCTATGACGTCCATGTGCCAGTTCTTGGACTGCACCGTCTGGGGGTCCAGCTGAAATACACAGAGAAAGAGAAAGAACATGATTAAGTTTCCTTCGTTATATTCTCTGCCCAAGCCATAATCAATGCATAGCCTCGTAAGAAACTGAGAGAAGGTATGACAAGAGCAGTGAGTGTTCAAATACACGTACAGTATCATGGACACAATCACATGGACCCTAACAGAACACACTCCTTGTATCCTAAATGTACGACTGCACTCTAGCAGAGACATTAAAGCCTCATTTCTGGCATGGTGCCTGTGTGTTCTTCTTGTGTTAACTTCATCTGACTGTCACTACACCACAGTACCTAGCCAGCTCTGAGTACCCAGGGTTCACTGCACTGGAGGAATTAGTCTGTTTATTAGGACACAAACATGAAGACATCAATGTTGATAACTTCGACCATGTTTTGTGTTGTACTTGTTCTTCTGTCACTACACACCAGTACCTAGCCAGCTCTCTCTGAGTGGCCTGGACCTCTGCCTACCCAGGGTTCACTGCTCTCTCACTCTCTCGCTCACCTGCCCCAGATGTCTCCCTCTCGTCATGCTCTGGTGCGGCTCTGAGAAGCTCCTTTGAAGTCCAGCCAAGAGAACAACGAGGCCACGTTACAGTTTGTTTTCCGAGACGAGACTCTCCCTTCAACATGGGCTGGAGGAGGAGGGCTATTTTCTGACTGCTGCTACGTGGAGAGAAAATAAAGACCCTGTTTTCCTTTTGCCTCCTCAATGGAAATTCCCAGACTGGCCTGTCTATATTTAAATAACCAAAAATCCCTGGGAACTTCAGATTCAACTGCAGTTTTTTTTATTTTCTCCTCCATATAACATTTCCGGGACGCTGACATCTAATAAAGTTAAATGGGCTTTTCCCCCTGTGTGGATGGAGCAGTGGTGCACGCTGGGTAATGTGCCCCCTCCAGTGTGTGTGTGTGTGTGTGTGTGTGTGTGTATGTTTAGACTGAGAGGAACCTCTGTAGCCTAGTCAGCCCGAGAGCTGTGTGTGGGTCTGTCCCTACCTAATGGCATGGATTATCTCTGCATTAAAACACACAAAAGCAGTCCATTCACCCCACCAGTCCTCCACTGGGCTAACTAACTCAGTTATCACATTTACCTCCTTTCACTAATGTGAACAAGAATCACACTGATTGAGATGAAAATACACCACACAAGAAAGCCCCCTTTCTCAAATTAAATCAGTAAATCACAAATATAGGCTAACACACAATGGAAGCACTGCTGCTGCCCTTTCTGTTCACTATCATTTTATTGCTTTTGCTAGTGCCGAGTTTCATCTTGTTCCTGTTAGTTCTTGTAAGCTGAACTGTCATCTGGTTGTGGGACATGTTCTTTGTAGCTCTGCTAAAATGCTTGTGGGTAGAGACAGGGCAGTGTGTTCTTTGGGAAAGGGAGACCGGGACAGGGGTTGTGCTTTTCCCATTTACGTATGGCTGTCTCTAGGGGTAAGCAGCAGCCATGGTTTATGGCTGTCTCTAGGGGTAAGCAGCAGCCATGGTTTATGGCTGTCTCTAGGGGTAAGCAGCAGCCATGGCTTATGGCTGTCTCTAGGGGTAAGCAGCAGCCATGGCTGATGGCTGCCTCACACGCTTCAGCCTGCTCAGTAGCAGAGGCAGAGCTGGGCAGTTTTCTAATGGTGCCTTGGAAGAATAGAGCTCTGACGTGATGTATGATAAGAAGAAAACCATCTACAGTGCCTTCAGAAAGTATTCCTACCCCTTACATTTTTCCAAATTTTGTGTTACAACCTGAATTGAAAATGGATTACATTTTGATTTTGTGCCACTGATCTACACACAACAATGTCAAAGTGGAATTTTGTTTTTAGAAATTTTTACAAATTAACTAAAAGCTGGATTGTCTTGAGTCAATAAGTATTCAACCCCCTTTGTTATGACAAGCCTAAATAAATTCAGGAGTAAAACTGTGCTTAACAATTCACATAAGAAGATGCATGGACTCACTCTGTGTGCAATAATAGTACCCCATCGCTGTACCCCACACATACAATTATCTGTAAGGTCCATCAGTCGAGTAGTGAATTTCAACCACAAAAACCAGGGAGGTTATCCAATGCCTCGAAAAGAAGGGCACCTATTGGTAGATAAAACATTTAAAAAAAGAAGCAGACACTGAATATCCCTTTGAGCATAGTGAAGTTATTAATTAAGCTTTGGATGGTGTATCAATACACCCAGTCACTACAAAGATACAGGTGTCCTTCCTAACACAAAGCATTGAGTTGTGTTGGATTTGTCCCAAACATATCACTGAGTACCACTCTTCATATTTTCTAGCATGGTGGTGGCTGCATCATGTAATGGGTATGCCCGTCATCAGCAAGGACTAAGGAGTTTTTTATTGTTGATAAAAATAAATGGAATAGAGCTAAGCACAGGCAAAATCCTAGAGGAAAACTTGGTTCAGTCTGCTTTCCAACAGACACTGGGAGACAAATTCACCTTAAAGCAGGACAATAACCTAAAGCATAAGGCCAAATCTACACTGGAGTTGCTTACCAAGACGACATTGAATGTTCCTGAGTGGCCTAGTTACAGTTTTGACTTAAAATCGGCTTGAAAATCTATGGCAAGACTTGAAAATGGCTGTCTAGCAATGATCAACAACCAACTTGACACAGCTTGAAAAAAGAATAATGAGGAAATATTGTACAATCCAGGTGTGGAAAGCTCTTAGAGACTTAACCAGAAAGACACACAGCTGTAATCGCTGCCAAAGCTGTTTTGACTCAGGGGCTGGAATACTTACAGTTGAAGTCTGAAGGTTTTCTTTATTTTTTATTTTTTTCTGGGGGTAGATCAGCTTAATATTGCAGATAGATTGTAACTTCTATCAATGTAATTGTCTGCATCACTTCCAATCCCCCATGTTTTTTTATATATATACTCACCTTTATTACTTTTCAACCCCGCCATCCTTTCCCTGATTGGTGTTAATTAGTGAACAACAATGAAGTCGGAAGTTTACATACACCTTAGCGAAATAAATTTAAACTCAGTTTTTCACAATTCCAGACATTTAATCCTAGTAAAGATTCCCTCTCTTAGGTCAGTTAGGATCACCACTTTATTTTAAGAATGTGAAATGTCAGAATAGTAGTAGAGAGAATGATTTATTTAAGCTTTTATTTCTTTCATCACATTCCCAGTGGGTCAGAAGTTTACATACACTCAATTAGTATTTGGTAGCATTGCCTTTAAATTGTTTAACTTGGGTCAAACATTTCGGGTAGCCTTCCACAACCTTCCCACAATAAATTGGGGGGAATGGCTGGCAGGGAGGTAGCTCAGTTGGTAGAGCATGGCGTTTGCAATGCCAGGGTTGTGGGTTCGATTCCCACGGGGGGCCAGTATAAAAAATTAAATAAAAAAATAATAATGTATGCACTCACTAACTGTAAGTCGCTCTGGATAAGAGCGTCTGCTAAATGACAAAAATGTAAATGTAATGGGACTCGTTTTACTGTGGATATAGATACTTTTGTACCTGTTTCCTCCAGCATCTTCACAAGGTCCTTTGCCGAGGTTCTGGGATTGATTTGCACTTTTCGCACCAAAGTACGTTCATCTCTAGGAGACAGAACGCTCCTTCCTGAGCGGTATGACGGCTGCGTGGTCCCATTGTGTTTATACTTGCATACTATTGTTTGTACAGATGAACGTGGTACCTTCAGGCGTTTGGAAATTGCTCCCAAGGATGAACCAGACTTGTGGAGGTCTACAAAAAATATTCTGAGGTCTTGGCTGATTTCTTTTGATTTTCCCATGATGTCAAGCAGAGGCACTGAGTTTGAAGGTAGGCCTTGAAATACATCCACAGGTACACCTCCAATTGACTCAAATTATGTCAATTAGCCTATCAGAAGCTTCTAAAGCCATGACATCATTTTCTGGAATTTTCCAAGCTGTTTAAAGGCACAGTCAACTTAGTGTATGTAAACTTCTGACCCACTGGAATTGTGATACAGTGAATTATAAGTGAAATAATCTGTCTGTAAACAATTCTTGGAAAAATTACTTGTGTCATGCACAAAGTAGATGTCCTAAACGACTTGCCAAAACTATAGTTTGTTAACAAGAAATTTGTTAACAATTGGTTGAAAAATGAGTGGTTGAGTGGTTGAAAAATTAGTTTTAATGACTCCAACCTAAGTGTTTGTAAACTTCCGACTTCAACTGTATCTAATCAAGCTATATTCATTTTTCTTACACTTTGACATTAGAATATTTTGTGTAGATCGTTGGGGGGAAAAAATACAATGAAATCCATTTTAATCCCAATTTGGAATAACTAAATGTGGAAAAAGACAAGGTGTGTGAATACTTTCTGAAGGCACTGTTATCAGAGTCTCACAGACAGCTTTTCCACCTAGCTTTCACTGAACATGTTGTGTTCGATATACACACCGGAGCCACTGACAAGCATAGCACTTCTACAACAGAAGCTAATGCCTTTAATAGGCTGATTCAGCAGCTCCCTGTGTATCACATTACTACCTTCCTAGATTATGTGCTTGTTTGTCTTAAAAGTCACATAATCGTTTATTGCTGAGCGAGCGCAAGGCCAGCACACTTACCTTATCGTAACTTTACATTAAGCTAGCACTCCTAAAAGTTTGTATTTAGGGAGTGTAATTAATTACCTAATAAAAAAACGTGTTTTGAATCAATTACCCCGACACCTATTACCGTTAGGGGCAATTTTCCCAGCAGGGTTTGGGCTTTAAACAAGGTTGCCCTAATCATGGCTATGGGGTCCTGACTACTGTACTGTAACCCCCCAAATCAAGCCCTAAGAACGACCTGCAGAACCTCTTCCCCAATTTATCTGTTTTCCTTTCCTTGCCTGGGAAGTGAGCTGGTTCAAGGAGAGACAGACCACAAACTGCATAGCTAAGCAATTATTTATAGTGCAAACTGCAACTTATTCAGTACGGTGCTACACTATATTCTCAACCTATCACAGAGGATGGATGGATGGGAGCAAGATAGATAGCTTGTATGAAAAGGTTGCTTTGAAGTTTACACATGGAAAGAATGATCTCCCCAATGTGACTTGGGGTTATG